GCTACATAATTCTTACAATTCATATGGAGCCAACCGATAAGGAGATTTCGCTACTGGTGCCGCTCCTGGAATTAAGTCGATTCGAAACTCAACTTGTCGGACGGGAGGTATTCCAGGTAGATCTTCAGGAAACACATTAGGGAAATCACATACTGGAGGTATGTCCTTGATTTCTTTTGTCTTTCTCTTCCTATCTACAATGTGGGATAAGAATGCGCTACATTTCTTATGTAGATATTTCTGGGTCTTTGTACAAGAGATGACTTTGAGGTTCTTCCCATATTTATCTCCATAGATAATCAGGGCTTCGCTGTTTGGTAAGAGTAGTCGTATGGCTTTCTCATGACATAGAATTTCAGCGCGGTGTGAAGATAACCAATCCATGCCAATTATGACATCAAAACTACCGATAGGCATTGGCATAAGGTTGATATGAAAAAGGTAGTTATTAAGAGTTAACAGACAATTTTCTAGCATTTCATGTGTATTCTCAAATTTTCCATTAGCGATTTCTACTTCGTGGATTTCTTTTAATTTGCTAGACTTATGACTTAACAATTTTCTAAAGGTCGGAGTTATAAAACTACGATCTGCTCCAAAGTCGAAGATTATGGTAGCATATAAATTATCTATGAGAAACGTACCAGATACTACCGAAGGGTCATGGATAGCCTCTTCGCTTCTGATCACAAACGCCCTGCCACGTCCTATGCCTCCTTGACTCCTTAACTTTGGACATTCTTTCTTGATATGTCCAACTTCGCCACACTCATAGCATTTTCTTCCTTCACCACGGCCTGTCCCATTATTGGTTTGTTGATTGACTGTTGCAGGTGTTTTTCTCCTGTAGTAACTAGCGATATGCCCCTTTTTTTTGCACTTCATACAGACAAAACAGTCACCTGGATAATGATGGTTGCACTAATTGCACCATGAAGATTTTGGTTGCGTAGGTACTGCTGTTGTGGCTGCATAATTGGTTGCCACTTCTTGTCTTTTCTCAGATGATTCTTTGGGATTCTTCTTATTAAACTAGCCCTTGTTTGTTCTAGATTTGGGAGACTCATCCTTTCATATTACTTCTGTTCCTTGGATCTCTATGAGGGTTAGCTGATGAGCTATCCTCTTGTTGCTGTCATAAGTCGTAGGCTTTGATGCAATCACCATGCCTTTGATTTGCGATGCTAAACCACATATATATCGCTCAATCTTCTTATATTCCGGAGTTACAAATGTTGGACACATTACTGCAAGGTCGTTGAATATAGCAGTATAAGCTTTTATCTCTGAACCCTTCATGGTTAGCATCCACAATTCTTGTTCCAGCTTATGTATTTCCTCCCTAGGACAATACTCCTCTACCAGCATTATTTTTAGCTCTTCCCATTTCATGGAATTTGCAGTATCAATCCCTATTGTATTCACATGGCTATTCCACCATGTAAGTGCTGCATCAGCGAAAGTACATGCTGCAAATCGTACTTTACAATCCACCTCGTCAAATTAACTACCCTTTCATTTCCATGAAAGATTTTTGGCCTACAGTTCATAAAATCTTTGTAGGTACATGTTCTAGCGGTCCCTACATGGCCTTCATTTCTAACTCCATCTCTTGTGACATTAGATAGAGCCGCAACCATTCTTTGAGCTATGATTTCTTCAAGTTGCACTGTACTCACTGAGGGGTTTATTTCTGGTGGTGGTTGTGGTTGTTGTTGTGGTGCTGATGGTCGGTTAGGGTTTAGCCGATTACTCCTTCTAGGCATTTTGTTTTAGTTCCTATTATAAATAATAAGAATTTTTATGAGTTTTGTTGATCATTTAATACACGAGTACTAAATACTCTAGTTATTATTCACAACATAAAACATAATAGACAACATAATGATTACTATAACGTATGCTTCATATTATTACCAGTGGTTACATCAGTTTATTTAGGCATATAGGAGAAACGTTTCTATAAACATTGCAAAAATTTCAAGGTTTTCTACATCCTTGGTATAAACTTTTACTCTTATTGCCTTAACTAGTCTGATTTTCTATATTTACACAACCACTAGTTTTAGCTTGTCTACCATAAACCTAAGTGATGACCCAGCACTTTAGTGACATTAACCACTAGCTCTTCAAGTTCTTGAGTTCTCTGCTCAAGACCTCCTGTGCGCTCCTCGTTTCTCGTAGTTTGATTGTACAACTCTAACTCTGGAATCCTTGCATCGTGAGTAATCATATCGTTATAAGCGAAATTTATACAATGATGGAAATCCATCACCGATTCCTGATCTCGTGTCCTTTGTCCTTCTAGCCTTCTCAGTCTTCCAGAGAGATCAATATCCCTCCCTTCGACAATTTCCATCTTATCTTCAATTTTCACACTTTTCTCAAACAATTGCAAGAAGGCGTTCACTTCAGAAGAATGTGGGGGATGTGGTCGAGATGATTGACCAATCTCATACATCTTAGCAGCTCTTTCTTCTGCCACCCACCTATCGACGGCTTGGGCTATCCGTGTAGGTTCATCTTGAACTCTATGAATTCCTGAAGATGTTGCCTTCTGATTCTTCTTAATCTTTTTCCATATTGGTATGGATTTACGTGCCATGTGTTTCATCTTTGCTCCTCCAGAAACTTGACGATAAAGAGTGTTCATTGGTGGTAAAGATGATGCTACTGATTCTGTCTTCTCCATTGGTTCGCTCTCTTCCATTGGTTCCCTCTCTTCCCATTCATTGGAAGGTAAAGGTGCTCCATCGTCAGAAGGTGTTGGATGAAAGGTGTTTGGATTTACAGGGTAGTAAGGATCGCCTACCATCCTAGGAAATGAAACTTTCTCTTCTTCATCCGTATCCTCGATGATTATCCATTCTCGTGAATGTGCCATGTCGAATTCCTATACATTTTGGATCATCAAGAGTTAAGTATATCAAATATTTCTCCCAAATTAAATATTCCATCTGATCTGATCATAATAAAATGTAGTTGCGCAACTACACCTAGTTGTGATAGGATCTATGCACATATAAACTTTAGTTGGAATATTTGATCTAAATGCTTGAGATAGAAAACATTTCGGGTATTAAGGTGTATTCTCGTCGCGGGTCTGAGCCTTTATATATGACTCTATATTCTTATTTATTGTATTCACACTTTTACTATTGTTTGTTATTTTAGGTCTAGCTGATAAGGCTCCGGCCAGTGAGGACTGTCGAAAGGGCAGGATCATTTTATCATATAGCCGTTCTGAAATCCAGCAACCCAAATCGACATGTCTATCCTTGTCACCGCTCCCGTAAGTAGTCCTTCAGTAGTATAATTAATAATACTTTTTATTTATAGGCTAAGGGATATCCCTAAACCTAATAGAGTAAGTCCTAAACTATAGACGTGCTTTCCTAAGAAAGTACTAGTTCACTATAGTTAATAGCTCTGATACCAATCTATCACACCCCGGCTATCGGCGGAAACACCGGGTAGTGTAACGTCATTTTTCGTATCACAGTTATATAACATACATTGAACAATACTTATAGAAAGTACATACCTTTATTGATGTTTGAAAGTTACATTATTGTTTTCCTAGTATTTATTACATAATATCCGACTATGATATACTTCTTAATGAACAGAAAGATAATAGTAAAACTTCTTCTGCTCGAATACATACCAGCTTTTCAAGTTCCTGAAAACACATGCATTTTAAAATACGTCAGCATAAAGTTGGTGAGTTCACAGGTTTTGACTCCGTAAAATAATACATTTTTACACATTCAAAAGTATAGTTTTGAAAGTATCATTTTGACTCTACAACATTAGGTATAATGGTATACTTATCAATTAAGTGGTATAAGTAGGGGAAAACTTATACTTAACATTAATACTTGTATACGACAAGGTATAATGTTTCTAACAATTTGCTACCATGAGCCTGTAACCGCTGCAATGACGTAATACATCTGATAGAACAATACACTCATGATCTACCATGAGAACAAATACACTCATGATTTAACATGAGAAACAACACCGTACGCTTCATTGACGTCGGAATAATAACAAATAAAAGGATAGTTCATCACTTGTTTTTGGTTGATTGTAGCTAACAGTCACAAGTGGGGTGGTCAGCCCATATACTAATTATACACGACCTCCGCACTCACACGAGATTAACGGTTACAGTTCAGAGGATTTCCACTAAGATCCCCAATCTTAGTTGATGAATACAATTACTCATGTAGACTTTGACGGCTTCCTGTATCTCTAACAACAAAAGCATCTTCATGTCTAAAACCCTAAGTTACTAAACTATGATTTTAAACATTACCCCTAACTTTATAATATTTAGGCAATATAACAGCTATATCTTGAAGTAAAAACCAGATTTAATCTTGACCTAAAACCAATAATAACAACATATAACGTTTCTAGTTTTATCTTGACATAAAACTATCAATAACAATACCAAGTTTTATCTTGACATAAAACTAACAATAACAACATATAACATATCCAGTTTTATCTTTATATAAAACTATTAATAGCAACATAGTATATAACTTAACATTACTTCGGTATTATACTACACACAACATATATATGAAATCCTAAGTATAACTCAAGATCTACTTTAGTAAATTATCATGCTGATAAATTAATAATAGTTGTATGTATTCAAAATGTTATATTTCGAACCATCATATCTCGATTTATCATAACTATATACTATCCTATAGACATAATAATAACATATATACAATGACTAGCATGTGTTTTCCCCTAAAATATTAGAAAGTGGGGCCGTGAAACTCACCCTAGTAGCGTGATTTTATGATATCTAAGCAAAACGGTCAGCGTGCGATATCGTCGGGGCTTGGGATGCAAGAGGACTTCAGAAAATCAGAGAGGAGAAATGAGATTAAGTGTAAGAATGGTCGGGGTCGATTTTATGACACTCACATCCACTTAGAACAGCTGATGCCGCATACAACAAGATTAAAGGAATGCTTTCTACTCTTGAAGATCACTTCACTCGCATTATCAGTCCAAAGGTGCAAATTTTCCCATTACTTTTACAAAAATTGTCCCTGTGGTTTCTAAAAGAGTTTTCAGTTTTGGACTAAAATTCAGAAACAACAGGAACCATTTTTGTAACTTATTCTTACTCCTAGATTCGAAAAGGGGGAACTTACTTTATTTTCTTTTCGACAATGATTTGTATAGGGATACCAAAGTTTTAGAATTGGAAGTGATGGAAACGTACAAGGAGTTGGACTATTTGTGAATACTGAACCAGAAACCGGGCATCTGGTTTGTGATGCTGAGACTTGAACCTGAGACCTCAGTTATGGATTCTTATTTATTTTTTATTTTTAAAAATTTAAAATTTTTTGTTTCAGGTTTTATTGTCCTGTGTTGAGGGTAGCCCAGCTGCTAGAGCTGGAATACATGTAGGAGATGAGTTGATTGAAATAAATGGAGAAAGAGTTAAGGGGATTAGTGGTGAAGTTGCTGCACAAAAGCTTAGAGGTTATGTTGGGACAAGTGTTACAGTCAAAGTGCACAATGTAAGTTTCTTACATTTAAGTTTGGTAGGAAGGAATGGAATGGTTGATTCCTTTCCAAAGGGTTTTATAGAAATTTGTGCATGTTCATATTTCTGATCTACATGGAAAAAATTGGCCATTGACTCTAGTTTTAGAGAGGTGAAACTACCCCGGGAATTCATCAGACTTTCTCCTATATTAAGTGTCATCATTCCTCATAGAACACCAAATGGTCATGTATCCAAAACCGGATATGTAAAGCTATTAGCCTTCTCCCAGGTGCTTATTAATTCTCTAAATCTTAGTCTTACTTTATAACTTCATATCTTAAATTCATCTAACAACCAGCTTTTGTAAACAGAGTGTTGCTATAGATATGAAACACGCCATTCGTGAATTTGAAAATCAGGGTGTTGAATCTTACATTTTGGATCTCTGAAACAATCCAGTAAGTAGCCTAAAGTTGACTTTAGTAAACTTTTGTTTGACTATTTACTAGTATTTACATATATATGTTTATTTATAGGGTGGTTTGGTGAAGGCTGGACTTGATGTTGCTCAAATATGCCTGGATGGAGATGAGACTCTAGTGAACACAATAGATAGAGATGGGAACATGCTTCCTGTTAACATGATCAATGGCCATGCTGTTACTCGTGATCCGCTAGTTGTTCTTGTAAGTTATTTTTTTTTTTTTTGACATGAAAATCTATATATTCACCTTCTGTTACATCTTTTGCTAGTGCTGCCATGGCAGTGAGACAACGGCCACATCAGAAGAAGTATAAGCTGAGAACTGGCTGTGTTAATGTGTCCCATTTTCATAAACCTGGTAACAGGGTGCACACAAAGGCTACAGCTCAAGAAACATGTGACAGTTGGCGAAAAAGGTGTTGTTTTATCCCCCCCCCCCTTTTTTTTTTTGATATTTTACATTTGTATAAACCTAATATGGTTTTGATTTCTGAAATAAATTGATTTGTGTAGGGGAAACGAGGTTTATAAGAGTGGAGATTTATCAGAAGCTGAAGTATGTTATTCAAAGGGTATTAGTTCAATACGACATACAAAGACACCTAGCGTTTGTATACAGCCTCTTATTTTCTGTTATAGCAATCGTGCAACTATACACATGGCTCTTAGAAGAATGAGGGAAAATGTCTAAACGACTGTAGAATGGCTGTTGCATTAGATCCCAATTTCATGAAGGTCAATAAGCTCCTATTCAGAGAAACTACTTAATATGAAAGGAGAGGCTCTTCTCATGGTATGTGAATGTGATTCATAATCTTTGTTAGTTTAATAATTGAAATTGACTGATTTGCCCCTACTTATTACACAGCTGGGGAAGCATAAAGAGGTGGTTCAACTGTGTGAGCAAACCCTAGATACGTCGGGTACTCAAAATTCTACCAATTTTTTTAACTACTTTCCCTTTACTTTTGAGTTTTAACCTCTTAATATTATATGATATTTATAAATCAGGGAGGGGAACTTCAGTGGTGAAGATACTGTTAGGGTTACCACCATGAACAAGCATGGGAAGCATGATTTGGATATTCCAGTCATTGTCAACCCAAGAAATGATCCTCCATTTATTAATATCCTTGAGTTCATCATGTTGGAGAATGTGACAGAAGATGATATTCACTTTCCAGGTTATATTCACTTTCCAGGTATATTACAGTTTACAAGAAATAACAACGTACTTTTATGTATTTGCTTATTGTGAAAACATTTTACTTTTATTTCTTTCTGTTACAGTTTACAACACTGCACTTTTCATTTATGATCTTACAAGATTTGTTGTAAGTCCTTTAATCCCAAGCCACTGATAGATCCTTGTTGAATCTATCATAAACTCCAGGCATTTTAACCCCTGATTCAATTACGTGATAATATTAAGATAATTCCCAGCTTTCGAGATGTGGGTATCTCCAAGAAAGAACAAAGTTCAATTCATAATAATTCTTAGCTGCTAAACAAAAACCTCTAGGGAGTGGTCCCTTAAAAAAGTCCTGGGACAAAGTTAGTGCTCTTGACATAACAAAACAGCCATAATACCAGAAAAAACCTTCCTACCCCTGGCCAAAAAGATAACAGAAATGTCGGGGCTTATCAATACCAACGGCCCAAACTTTCACCTTGTCCTCAAGGTGAAGGAAAGAATGGGTCGTCCTTGCATTCCTATTCAAGTGCGGTTGCCAAAATGAAAGGTAAACCCGAAACAACTCAAACTTCGCGTGTAACATCAATAACTTAAGAGAATAGACCAAAATTTCCTCTGACTTCTTCTTAAGTGACTCCTGTTGCTGTTGTTCTCCTTCCATCTCTTCAAGTTTGAACCCTTGTTTGGTGGCTTGCCCTACAATCACTGGCTCTAATTCCTCTAAGATCATCTTGATAACTTTATCAACCTTCCCATTGTTATTACTCATCACACCTGAGGAGAAGTATTGGTAATGAAAACTGGGACCCTCGCTTGGAATCCTCACCACCTCAAAAACATTCTTGAAGTTATGTGGGACTTCACCAATGACTTGTGCATTCCCACCTTTTTTCACAACTTCCCAACCATTCTCATTAGGATCTAAGGTGATGTACCAAACCATATCCACCAAAAGCAACTGATGCATTAAAGCCCTTGCTATGTAAACTTGCTAATTCATCTTCAAGTCCTTTAGTAAAACCATCACCTGAATCATCTAAAACCTTAAGGGGGCACAACAGGAACTCTTCCAGCCGTTAAAGCTCACCATAAGTAACTTCACTTCCACTTCCATTTGCCCCAGGAAACTTATTTGGCAACAACTTTAACATCAAATCTTTGCTACCATCTTTTCCCTTTTTAGCAATAACAAGTATTTCTTTATCTATCTCTTCATCAATCCCTTTCTTCTTCAAATTCTCCAGGATCCAAGAGCTCTCCATACTCTTCTTGTTCTCACCAGTAATGACATTACTTCCACCAAGATCATCATAACCAACTGTAATCGTAACCTGTTCAAGACCTTTTTCCTGTATTTTGATTCCAACAAGCATACACCAATTCCCCTGCACTCTTTCTTAGGGAACCATAATATCACCCAAGGGGTCCTGATGTTTGGACAAGGTGACATTAGAATCTTCAGTAACCTTTTGAAATGTGAAGTATGCTCCATGCACCAGATATTTAGAGAAATACTTGTCACTTTTGTTAACAGTCACAAAAAGATGAAATATTTCTCCACAGTTTTGGAGACAGATTTTTTTTCCATGACACTATCATCTTTATTGAAATCAACAGTAGCTAATACACCATATCCGATACATAAGACAACATTAATATCAGTAGAAGAGCCAATGTGCCCAGGTGAATCAACAAGAATGCTCAATAACTCGTTTTGGATGACAGAGGATCCAAAATTGAACCCTAGGGTTTTGAAGACGATATTAGGATAAGCCAACGCCTCCAACCTTGAGGAGCTGGGTATCGTGGTTGAGTAAGAGGTGGCCAATTGAGGTTCGATCGGCAGAAGAGAAACAGAGGTGCGAAGAGGAATTAGCGCCAATTGTGTCGTTGGTTGGATTAAACTTATGTGAATATAAGGTAGGTCTAATCCCTGTTTGACCAAAGTTAGAGTTGATTCAGTAAAACTTGGGCTTGAGTTAGAAAAGTTACCCATCAACTCCACAGTGCGCTTAGTATTTTGTGAGCCCAAGGTGTTGATCACAGCCCACTTATCTCTCCTAAGTCTGGTATTAAAAATTCCACCTTTTGCCCTTGGCTTGATGCATATTTACAATTTAGCTTATTATTTTGATTTACACTTGCAGGAAATTAGAAGCGAGGAGCTACATAATGATGTTTCATAGGTGCTCCCTGGTTATAAACAGGTATGAATATGATTTACACTTCCAGTTCACATTGTATCCATTTCTGGAGAGGATATTTGGCCCTATAGTAATAGCTCGCATTGCAGGAGTAAGCAATTTTTCTTTAATTTAGTTTTTCTTTTACCATTTGTTTAATTTAATTATTCATTTTTGATGTAATTATTGATTTTGCATGAGAGATTTTTTTTATATATGAATCTTGAAAAATGGGATGTTTGGTTGTTAAGTGAGGTCTTGAATATGTTTTGTGTAAGTTGTGTCTATACCACTACTCACGAGTTATCCATTCATAGCCATGTTGACTGGATTTGCTCTCTCGTTGACTTTAAATTGTGCATCCATTATAAAGAATGTTTTATATGTAAGTTTTTCAGGGACTAGATCTGTCTACTTCATTAATTGCATGCTACTATTAGTTTATTACTTAATATAAGATAATATTTGCACATATTAATGCAACATGCAAGAAATGTTATAATTATTGTTATCTTGATAATTTGGTTTCTTGTCATCAACAAGTATCCATCATAACGGGGACATTCATGCTGCAAAATAAAGTTGTGGTAATCTTCACCTCCTCAGTTCTATAGCTTTTTTAGGGTTAGATTCATAAAGTAACAATGCACTTTCATTGATTTATTTATTTATTACAAGTTTATAACATCCTAATTTCATTTTTTCTTATTAGAACATTGTACTTTCAAAAATCTACCCAATTATCTTATTGTATAGCTTGAGTGCATTTGTGGCTTAATCTTAATAATAATTCAGTTTTATATTATCTTATTGTCATGTTTGTTTAGTAAGCTTAAGAAGAGTAAACAAGGTATCCTTATCTCAGTTGCAGTCAAACCACAAGCTTCCGGGGCCAATTAAGTTGCTGGGACATTTTCTGAAGTCAAACACCTTCTTCTTGTGTATAAATTCAATAGCAAATTCAGTACTTTCTTGTGTATAAGTTCTATTAGAAGACAAACATATTTTTGATCCCTTTGATATCCATTTGTCTACTATTGGAATGATTATTTGTGACATTAACTTTTGTGCAATATATTATATTTTTTGTATATGGTATTTTATTTTTTATTATGATACATGAAATGGAAATTTAATTTGAAAATTAGTAAATCTACAAATAATTTTTTTTAAACAGTTAAAATTATGATACGCAAAAATGTGTGTCATCTGCATTTATGACATGGCCTTTTTTGACAGGGGCTTTCTTGATACGCATTGCGTGTCATTAACACGCGCGTCGTAAGGTTACGATACGCAAATGCGTGTCGTCTTCCGTTATGACAGGGCCTTTCTTGATACGCATTGCATGTCGTAAACGTGCGTCGTAATTGCGCGTCGTAAATGAGCGTCGTAAATGCGTGTCGTCTATAGACGACACGCAAAAGCGCGTCGTCTCTCTTTATGACATGGCCATCCTTGACGCGCATTTGCGCGTCGTCTGAGCCCTTTACGACGCGCAATGAGCGTCGTAAAAGGCTTTTTTTCTAGTAGTGTATAAATGCAGGCATGTATACTTAGTTAAATATTTTATTATTTAAAAGTATAAACTCTTGGTCAGAGTATTTTAATCCCATTGTGTTTATAGTTAGTATATCTTTTATGGGTTGATATACTAGATTCACTATAAACGATGCTCTGATACCAATCTGTCACACCCCAAAACCAAGAACGGGGGAAATGTTCTGGGGCGGAGGACATGTTGTGCAGTATCACAATACAGTATAAGAGTAAATAAGTAAACAATATCATCCATTGCATTAAATATATAATTTTAATACAAGTGTGTTTTGTAGTATATAAGACACCAAAATATGAATCAAAATATAAGATGAGTCTTGTATGTACTCCATCTTCTCAAAAACTAGCATCGGTACCTATCTATTGATGACCTGAGAATACAAGTTATTTTGAAAGAGTTTATCAGTATTAAAGCTGGTGAGTTCATAAGTATTTAGTGTCTATATTTGTATCAAAATGTCTGAAACAATGTTTGAAGTATGAGTTTGTAAACATTTGTAGTAAAAGTATGTATATGTTTGTAAGTGTTTGTAAAATTTTGTAACTCCTAGAAAATCCTATATTTTCTACTAAAAGTAGCCTTCTATCAAGGCACAACTGTTTTGTATGTTTATTTCTTGTAAAAGTGTGTAATTTTCCCAAGTGTAACTATCATTATCAAAATATAGTTTGTACAATAATATTTAAGTGAAGTGATCACCAAATAAATGTAAAGGGTAAATTAATGTAGTACTGTAGTGTTGTATTATAGGAACTATTGCTATACTAACTACCTTAAACCGGATTTATATTAAGGTATCCTGTGATTAATTGTACCATGCTATCGACTATGAACAGGACGATGTAAGACATCGAAAAGTAATGACATTTGGCACTCGAAGACCTACAGGTCTCACTGTAGCTAGCAGCAAGGCGTAGGATAGTCAATCCAGTATAGATCTATACGCAAACTCACGCTCTCCCTTCAGGAGATTATGGTTACAACTCGGGCCATGACAATGAAGGCATGCTCCGATGCAGTGGATCACATTTATGTTATAGCATACTTGTATAGGTAATGTATGTACTTGTGTAATAAATGTGTTGATAGTATCGTTGTATAAGTTCTCATCTTAGTATAGTTGAATAAGTTCTCATCATAGTATAGTTGTATAAGTTCTCATCATAGTATAGTTGTATAAGTTCTCATCATAGTATAGTAAGTAGTGACTCATGAATGAACTGAATCTTTGTATGCTTCATTGGACTAGAAGTAGTAAGTAGTATAACCCTAAACTATACCTATTATAGTTTGCTAGTAGACTTGTTCGTATGAGTGAATGTACTGAACTGAGATAAAAGTCTTTATATCTATACATATATACATAATATATAACTAAGGATTCAACGACACACGGACAAACAACCGGGTACTCTAAGTCCACAACCAAACAAGAAACAGGAAATAAAGTGGGTTGTTAGTCCTAAGTCCTTCAAACCTTATTTATATAACTATATATCATTCTTAAGGACCAATGACAAAGAAAGAACCGACCACCAGCAAAGAGTTAATCGAAGAATTTGCAAAGCAGTCACACAAATATCATAACTCACGAGAAGATGTTACCATAAGTAAAGGATATTTAGGGAACAAGAACATGGCTACAATCATTGCTAAACTAGAGAATATGGCTAAGACAATGACGGGATTGGATCAATCTATACACGCCATAAGAGATGGATGTGACAATTACAATGGGTCGCATTTGACGAAGGATGGCGATTTGGATGAGCACGGGAATAAGAAAGTGCAAGGGTTTTATTTTAGTGGTGATAAATATCATGAAGATTGGAGAAAGCTGAAAAAGGAGTGGTTGCCTTATGACGAGTACAAGAAGCAAAAGGACGAGAAATATAGACAAATCAGTTTAGGCTGCTACCAAAAAGAACAACCACTACCAAAGAAGAAGATGGATTTTGAGAAAATACTTAATAGGTTTATGGAATCCTTTAAAAAAAACACAAGATACTACTGATGCTAATGTGAGAAATCATCAAGCTTCCATCAAGAAAATTGAGACTCAACTTGGGCAATTAATGACACATGTTAATGAAAGGTTACCACCCAAAATCCCAACCTCATACAATGGTGATTTACACTGAAAAAGATGTTCATTTTGAGCCATTAGTGATCCATGATGTAGCTACTATACACCCCAATCCATATTTGGAAAAAGAAACGCCCGAAGCACAAAAAGCAAATTCTGAGTCGAGTTATGTTCCTTAACCACGTCGTGGTGACCTTGCCATGCCATGGTTACTGAAAAACCAAAATTCTACTTGTTTAAATTCGTACCAGTCTTGTTTGCCATTCCCATCTTGAGCTCTTAAGCATAATCTGGAGCTGGAACATAAGAAATTCATGAAACAAGTACTATCTTTCTCATTAATTCTCCATTCCTCAAATCCATGGCAAAGCTTCCTGATTTTTCTAAAGATCTGTTGAGTAATCGAAAATAGTTAGAGAAAGCATCCACAATCGTGCTTAATGAGATATGTTCAACTAAAATAATTGATGGATTGCCAATAAAGATGGAAGATCCAGTCCGATTAACTTTTCTTTGTAAATTTGGAAATTCTATCTTAATAGA